TGTAAAGTCCAACCACGTTTTTTATAGAAATCTCTTTTTGGTTCATGTGCAGTTTGAGGTAATACACGCATTTTATAATCTGTGATAAAAAGCATACCATTGAGATCAAGCTTGGCTAATGTCACTTTGAATTGGGCATTCAAATACACTTTTCACATTTGATGAGAAAGGTAATATAATAATTGTTCTTTGTACTCTGTTATTTGATCTCTGTACTCTTTTATCTGTTCATGATTATCTGAAGGTGCTGATTTATATATAAAGTCTAGAACATTGAACAATTGATCACAATCAGGACATCTTGTTTCATGGCTATTAACACATTCACCAAAAGTGTAAGTTAAGCAATGGGAAATACATGGATCATGCTCAATTTTACTATCTACTTTAACTTTCAATTCTCTTTCATAACTTCATTTCATATATCACTTTAGTTTTTCGAAACGTTAGAAGCAGGGACTAATAAAACTATGTAATAAGGTAATTATGTATTAGAAATAACATAATAATAATAATTATTTCGAACTTAACATTAACTTATGAAGGGAGGTCAATAGAATACAGGCAAATTTTTTCTAAGTAAAATTTTTTTAAACTTTAAATTAAAATATCTCAATAATTATTAAACCAAATTTAATAAATTTTTTTTCATATTGATTTTATATAGTTATAGATCAAAATAAAAAAAAATATATTAAATTTTGGTTTGATAATTGCTGAAATATTTTAATTTAAAGTTTAAAAAAATTATACTAAAAATGATTTGCCTGTTTTCTATTGACTTTCTCTCATATATAAAAACTTTTCTAATTCTAATCCAAAGTGAGCTAACCTTAATATTAATAAAACTGATCATATCATTTTTATGTCTAAAATGATTTTGTATAAAGTTTTCAAGATTATTGAAAGTCTCAAATCCATAATCATTGCAGGTCATACATAGCCTACCAAGGTCTTTATGATACTTAAGGTTGGTACAATTATTCAGTCATGTCATGAAAGCAGTTCTTTTCATGCCATTTGGATAAGTTTCATTAAACTTATCCCATAAATTACTCTTTTGGTTACATAAATATAGAATTGACAATTCTGTTATTGAATCTACATGGTATGAGCTTATTGTAACATTGTCTCTGTCTTGAAAAAATAACAAGAACTGATTTTCTTTAATATTAGACAATTGTTGAATGGTTCATTTGGGTTTTTGCAAAGGTGGTACACTCGGGCCATAAAGTCGAGCATGCTTCCTGGCTTTATTTATGGTTTCTGACCCAACCTAATAGCAAAAATATTATGTTATAATTAATAACTATAAAAGATCGTCAAATCAGATTCATCTAAAATTGTCAAAATCTATGACTTTTGTGTAAAAAAGTTGAAGTATTGTTGGCACATAAAATATATTAATAGAAAAATTGTCTAGTTTCAGAAAACTCAGTATGTTGTTTTGAACTTTAAAGATTTATCTAAAGCTAAAATCTTAAAAATATTCGATTTTTAAATGAAAAGGATTTGTTAAACTATTATATTACAATTACTTATGTCTAATTCTTTTATGAGGATATGGTACTTAAACTTTAGAGCAATTATTGAAAAAATATGAATTTTACCATCTGGCTCTTTTTTGTTTGAAATCATTGCATCCTTAAAGCTATTCCAAAATCTTGTATTTTGCAAATTTGGTTGTAGAACTAATAAAGGTGTTAACATATTTTTATCTAATTGTATAATGTTACTTTCATATAGGTTTTTAAATAATTCTCTATCAGCAGTAGGATTTAATGCTTTGCTCTAGAATTCTATAGAAGATTCTTTTTTTGAAAAAGGCATCACATTTTTACACCCACAGGCAACAAACATTGCTTGCCATGCTCATAGTTCTTTATCTTGAAATTGATATTCAGATGGGTAAATGCTTTGCAACATAAGCGGAAACTGAATAACAGAACTATCTTGCTTATGCCAATTAAGAAAAAGGCATTGCCAATTAAGAAAAAGGTATTGCCAATTAAGAAAAAGGCGTTGCCAATTAATCATCGAATTGGGAATCTTGCGAGATTTTATATGATGAGAAAATATTAATTCTAGCAATTATAAATTCTTTCAATCATTAACAGTACACATTGGTAATTCATTTCTCAACTTATTTAAATGCTCATAAACTGATGCATCTGTAATTCCAAAAAGGTATGATCCAGTATATTTCTGAAAAATCTCTACATTTTTTCAAACATCATTTGAGGTTTTTCTTTTAACTGTTTTAACATATATTAATTCTAAATAAGTTTCTAAAATACATTCACTTTCTTCAATTGTTAATACAAAAAGATGCAATTTGCTATGATATTGTGTAGTAAAAGAAGAAACAAATCCAGAACCGACCCCATGAAATCTATTTTCTTCTAGGTCACCTACATTAATTATTACTATGAGAAGTTTTTCTATATGAACAAATATGCAAATGAATATAGAAAAAAAATAATATATTGGCAATTAATTGGTTGATAATATTTATATTATTGAATCCTATTACAGCAGTACCAGAGTATGCTGTTTTTGTTTTAAAATTTTCTTGATAACATGTATTAATTGCTATTGATGGATTTGGTTTAATTTCTGTTGTAGTTGTTTTACAAGTATATTGAAAACCTGACTTTAGTGGATTATTATCATCAGGTAAAACTGTAATAATGAAGTTTTTATTATTAAGTTCACATGAAATGTGCATGTATAAATGATAAGATACTACAAAATCTTTTATTTCAGATCCTATTTTCATACTAATTGTCTCCCACCAGGCTCTAGCCCAAATTCCATAATGTAACTATGGGCTTATAGTGCCTACATACAAAATTTTTGAAGAAAATTCTCGTTTTTTGAACATTATTGTTAATACGAATTGGTTTTTATTTTGTTTTTATTGTTATTTATTTATTTTTTTTGTCATGAAAATTCAAACTTTAATCAAGGTAAATTCGATTGTCTTTTATACAATTTTTTTCGTATCGTAATTATTAATCTGCATACAAAATTTTTCATTGAAATCTGAAAATTTTTTTTTTCTCATCTTCTATTTAAACTAAAATGATTTCAAAGAATCATGTGATGACAGCTGCGAATCACTTTGCACTAACAATCAACCTAAGTATGGAATTAACAAATTTGTATATACAACTTATTAGAGTATAATGCGATAAATGATTACTTAAGTGAAACAATTTGAATTTCTGTGACGATCTTATTTTAACTCAAGTATGGAATTAATGGATTTGTATACACAACAAAATTAGAATGTGAAATAATAACAATTGCATACAGTAAGCAGAATAGTGTCTGAGGTGATTCATTATTCCAGCAATTGATCTAGGTATAGAATTAACGAATTTGTATCTACAACTTAATTAAGATGAAATGCTAACAACTGCATAAGTAGAATAATTTTATTACTCCTGCAGTTAGCTAATATGTTGGTTTGCATACTTAATTAGAATGTGGCATGATAAATGTCTGCGAAAGGATGATCTATTGCTTCAAGTATAGAATTGAGCAGATTTGTCACAGGACATGATGTGGTAACTTCTGCATAATAAATAGAATAACTGGACAATCTATTCCAACAGCTAATGTAAGCATGAAATCGTGACTATCAACAACAATTACCAAATAAAGAATTCTAGAATTATGAGACTAGCTAAATATAGATACCATTAAGAAAAATAAAAATTAAATCTATAAAAGCATCATTGGCTTTAAATTAAAGGTATAATAATATTATCAAAGTTATATTTATATTATAGATTAAATATACTTATTATTTTATTTGTAATAGACAAATGATCTTGGATAAATTATATAGGCATACTAAAAACTTGAAGTATATTGTCACAAGGTTAATCGATACTATATGAATTGAACCAAACATCTGGTTCAGGGTTATTAGAAAGTAATCGAGCACTCGCTTAATTGTTTGTTTATTGGGAATAAGATGAATGATGAAATTAGATAAGCAAAGATAAAACTTATTTGGTTATTGCTTAAGCAAACCAATTTCTCTCTATTTATACATTTGCTTCATTTATTTATTACTACTTTGTTATTCAATAATTACTACTAACACATTACAGTCATTAATTACAATCAATTACATCAGATTACCATCACACACGTGACATATATCAACAGTATTGACAACTACGAATCCCTTTGAGTAACAGTGTTTTATTAGGTTTGATGATTCTGGAATTATCATATTAAGAATTTATATTATAGAATCACTGACTAAATATCAAATGTTTTATGCATATCTAATGGTTCTTATTTTTCTTAGATCATTTTATATTGAAATAGATAAATTTTGATGAGATTCAAAGAAATTTGGGCTAATATATGATCTTAAGGACATTAATGTCCACGAGATTATGTGATAATAACATTTTATAATAATTTGAATCTAGGTGCCATACTGAAAATCTTGGTGCATCCTACCATAGAGCATTGCATACAGTAGGGTCTTATTGAGTAGTATTTGCAGATAATGTGTGAAGAACCAGGTACTATATAGGTGATATATCATATGAATGTAATAAATTAAAATACAGATATTATTCAAGAATTAAGCCTGATTGATTGGTGATAAATAATGCCTGGGTCTTAACTAAGGGAGTCCTATCTTTAGCAGATACTTTATGTAGCGCTAGATGATAATTTTGCAGTTTAACTTCAGGAATGATGACTACAGTCTTGATTTTTATGCTGATATTTTTAGCATTATGCTTAATTCAGTCCCAGGTAATGATCTGCATTATTTTTTTTTATGTTCTACAAATTTTAATTACAAATCTTATTCCTTTCAACTACACTTTAATATGCTAATAACTGCAGGATTAATTTTTACAGGTCATTAAAAGATAATCTTGTTAAATATTATTTACTTAATATACTAATAAAAGTTGCTTTTAGAGTTTTGTAATCTTAAGCATACCAATAGGATGCAAAATAGCATGTCTAGTTTTGTATCAGAATTTAGAATGTCTAGGATATTCGGTTTTATTTCTAGCATTCATAGTGAGTATATAGTTCAATATATGTACACATATGTATATATTAAATATTAATTATTCTCAACTTTAACAGTGGCTGTTTCAAAAAAGAAAATATTAAATGCATTCATAATTAGCAGAAAGGCTTGTGCCCGAATATTTTTATGATGATATTAAAGAATTAATTGTACAAGTATTGTACAAAATTTTTATTATTATAAATAAAGATAAGATTTCTTTATTAAAATATAAAGAATACATTCATATCCAAGTTCACAAAAATAAGGAATGATAACCCAATCCGACTAAACTATAATTGTAAAATTTTAAGTGTCACCTTACGAAATTGCTAATGTGGTATATAATTTCGATTTTCATCTATAATTTTTCATGCCACCACCTGTTTGCTGAATAAGAGAAGAAAATGTTAAATCACACAAATTCTAAAATGAATTATTCCTTTCAAGATAAAATTTATCAAATCTATCATCTACTTGTTAGTTGTTGCATCTCAAGTTAGTCCATATATTTTAAGACTAGAAACATAAAAAAATAAATATATACTTAAAAATCCAATGCATGTTGAGAATTAAGGATTTAAGTAAAACCCTCTATGATTGCAAGAGTGATTGTTTGTAACTCTGGTCTTCATCCAAGATTATTTGTATTCCATCTAACCAGGTTGCTGAAAATCTATTGTCTTTGAATATTGTTTAGTCTGTCAAAAGAATTGAATTATTCCTTCATATTCTACTGTTCTAAATTGAAATTCTTTAATTATTAATATTTTTATTTCCACTTGTCTACTCTTAAGAAGTTCTCAAAGGATCACATGTTCGAACCAGGTTTTCGAAGTGTTATAATGGTTACAATTTGAACACTTTCTATGATACTCTTTTAGAATTAAATTCTTTGAATACAACCAGAAAATTTATTGGCTGTTATGTTTCAAGTTAGCCTATATACTTACACTTTCTCTCTAATTGATTACTACTTTTAAACTAAAAATATTATAAATTAATATCATTAATTAATCTAATTATAAATCCACATGTAATTAGAGTAGAAATTTATTACTGGTACTTCTAATGAAATAGTGCCATCCAACTAGGTAGTTGAACCATCAAAAGGAATCCATTCAACTATTTCTTTACATTTCGTTGCTTTAAGTTGAAATTCTATAGTGCAATCATCAATATCATTATTTCCACTTGTCCACCCTTGAGTTATTTTTGAAGGATCACATAACTGGTACCAGGCTGGTAAAGTGATAAAAATCCATCAAAGGAATCTATTCAACTATTTTTTCACATTTTATTGCCTTAAGTTGAAATTCTATAGTACAATCATCAATATCATTATTTCCGCTTGTCCACCCTTGAGTTATTTTTGGAGGATCACATAACTGGTCCAGGCTGGTAAAGTAGTAGAAATTCATCAAAGGAATCAATTTAACTATTTTTTCATGTTTATTTCACTTATCCATCCTTGAGTTATTTTCAGATGATCATATAACTGATACCAGGCTGGTAAAGTGTTATAGTATTATAATTCATGCATATTCTATTACTTAGACTTTATATGAAATATTTACTAGTGATTGTGTTAGTCCATATATTTTAAATTCACCATCTCTTGATTCTTTAACTTATATATAAATAGGCTAATTAAGGCTACACATCTTAAATAATAATGTTAACTTACCTCTCTTAAAAATCTGACTTCTGAAAGTCATGTAAAATTTTAAGTGTCACTTTTCTACTTATGAATGTGATTTTATAAAGTTTTAAGCTTTCTTATGACAGGATGAAATTGAATAAAATTCAAGTTACTTTTGTCAAAGTGCTCATGATATTAGAGGTTTTTTATATAAGCTAGTCTTCACAATTACGTGTAGTTCACTATAACAAAAGCTCACTATAACAAAAACTTACCATAATGAGAATGACTTGTAAAAACACTATGCTAACGTGGATTTCACTCTAACCTGACGATCAAAATGGGTTTTACTAGAATTTAGCATGTTGATCTGTTTTTTTTTATTGTTGAACAATATATAAAGAGAAAGTTCAATATCTTATATATAAAATTTTTCATATTTCTAAATCGAATTTTAACTATAGAATTTGCATTACATTTAATTAGTGTATGTAGATCATTTTATTCAGGTGATTCACGAATCACCAATTAAATAATATACTTAAAATAATAATAATAAAAAATATCAAAAACAGTTAAGCATTGGCCACTATCTAATTGCAAGAAAAGAAAAAAGAATAACAAAAGAAAAATTGTCTACTAAGGTCAAAACAGATTATTTGTCTAGTTCATTTAAATAGATAACTGTTCTTATTTTAAAGTGCTTTAATATTAGGCAAGACAAGCTTACAGTTTGAAATGTATATGTATCTTAGTGAAAAACAATAAATAAAGTACAAATTTATTAACAAAAAAGGTTTTTCAACAAGGAAACTAGTAGAAAAAGAAAAGAAATAAAAAGTTTTGTAAACCAAAACATAGAAAAAATTGGATAAAATAAATAACAAAAGCAAATACAACAAAAAATTAAAAATTTATTAATAGACAAAGAACAATTACAACAGAAGCAATATAATTGCTAAATTTAGAAATAGATAAACCAACCAGAAAAAGTTACTAATTTTAGACAAATTAGTAAATAAGGTTCAGAGACCTCATTTTTTGAGAAAAGAAAGATACAAAGAATACTATCCCTTAAACCGTATTCCAGGCAAATTTGCCTGGAAAATTAAATTGTATTTAGTATTTTTTAAATAAAACAATAA